CCCAAATCTTTGCACTAAGATACCTGGTAGTCTTTCCACCATCGATTGGTATCTTCCTAACCAATCTGTCTTTCTAGATTCTCTGCTACTATTTCTTGGTTTAGAAACATACACTTGACATACCGAATACTTTACTGCAACAGGACTGTGGTCAGAACTGTATTGTCCCACTAGGCTCATCCTGCTAAGGTAAGAAAGTGATTCACCCAAAGGCATTCCATCTCCACTCACCCGGAATGGGAAACAGGAAATATGTGTTCATGTCTCGCCAAGAGTTCAAGCCAAAGAGTTCAATCACCAAGTCAGTACATACTAGGAAGGCTATGGTTTGGAGACTATGAAATGATGACATTTCCCATGCATTTCAAATGTATTAGGATGTACGATTTAATTAAGTGGGACATGCACCTGGAGTCTTCTCACCTTCACAGTTGACAGCCATGAATGACCTGACCATTTGTTTCTGGAAATCTGCTTCCAAGGAGGAAAGCAAATGATTTTTTAAAATGCAAAACAGGAAGGAACTAGAGGCAGCATGGCATCAGGCTCATTTTTTCCCCCTAGCAGGTCAATATTGAGATATCACCCCTCCATTTCTACCTGAGACTTTGTTACTTTCCATGACTATCAGGGTGTGTGTGTGTGTTTAAATATTTCCATATTTGGTAATCAGGATGTGTGAGCCCCTTTTCTCAAATATGCCCTGATGAGACATAGGAAACACTCTGTCGCCTTTTCAAAATGAAACACACAAGAAGACTGTATAACCCTTCCTCTAATTAAGAGTAAGCTCTACCCATGTATCACTAGCAATTTTTCTATCACTGTAATCCCAAGTTATGTCTAGAAGACAGATGGAGACCTGCTGGCCAGATTATGACAGTATTTTTTACAGATATTCTTCATTTCTATCATTATTTTATTATTATTATTTTATTATTTTTAGAGATGGGGTCTATGTTGCTCAGGCTGGACTCAAACTCTGGGGCTCAAGGGATCCTCCCACCTCAGCTTCCCAATATCTAGTATTCTTTAAGACAAGCTGCAGGTAGGAGAAATGCAAAGTGTTTAAAGGAAACAGATCTATAGGGAAAACAGTAGCGTATATTGTACATTTTGAGGGTGCTGGGGTAATGGTAAAAATGCAAAGGAAAAGGCCTAAAATGTGGCCATGTCTGCTTAAGACTAGGAATAGAAAGAAGGTTTCCTACTGGGCTTTTAAGAGCTCTCTGTGGCTGAGCACAGTGGCTCATGCCTGTAATCCCAGCACTTTGGGAGGCTGAGGCAGGTGGATCTCTTGAGGCCAGGAGTTCCAGACCAGCTTGACCAACATGGTCAAACCCAGTCTCTACCAAAAATACAAATATCAGTCAGAGTGGTGGCACACACCTGTCATCCCAGCTACTCGGGAGGCTGAGGCACAAAAATTGCTTGAACCCAGGAGGTGGAGGTTGCAGTGAACAGAGATCGTGCCACCGCACTCCAGCCTGGGCAACAGAGTGACACTCTGTCTCCAGAAAAAGCTCTCTGCAATGTCAGCACCACAGATTCAGCATTGCCCTGAAGCTCTTCTGTAACTGGCTTTTATTGCTTTAATTAACCAAGACTGGGTGGGACAGATTTACATCTGGCTCTGTAATGTTATTGTTCCCAGCTTGTGGCTAGCAACAGCTCTTTATTTTTTGTGTTTGATACCTGTCCTGCACAATTAGCACCTTATTATAGGCTGGCCTCTCTCTAATTGCCACATGTCTCAATTGAGCACTTTATTTTATTGTCTTGTTCATGCACTAGTTCAAGGTTCTGGGATCCCCTACTATAACAAATTCTACACTACTTTTAGGCAGGTGTTGTGTTTTGGGTTTCTTATCTCTTATGCTCATAAGAACACTAGGGACTCACAGGCATGCAGACACTAACTGTCTGAAGAGTTACTAGACATTTGTTCTGAGTATGGCATATGGCTGGAATCTGGGTCTCCATGCATGCTACTCAGCCCTAGTATCAGATCTATCAGCCTTCTTTGCCATTGAGGGCTCTCTCCTTAGCTACTTGGAGTTAATGTTCTATTCTGCTCATACATAACCTTTTGCCTTGTTTAAAAGGTTGGGCTACAACAGACACAGGAACTTCCCATCAGCACCACATTCCATGTTCCTTTAGAAAACTGATTCAAGGGATATGAGTCTATGCTTGAACAGACTCCTTGCTTTTGGAATTAAGGTGAACTATAGTTCATAGGGCAGCAACCAATGCATAACAAAATCGGGACCAAATACTGTGGTGAATGAAATAAAACCGAGGGGAAGGCTGTGTAAGGTGATGGTTAGGAGAGTGGGCAGGACAGCTAGACTACCTGGTCTCAAGTCCTGGTTCTGCCATTTACCAACGATATAACCTGTGACCCTGGTTAAGGCATTTAACCTCTCTGTGCCTCATTTTGCAATCTGTAAAATAGGGATAAAAATACTTGCTTCACAGGGCTGTTGCAAGGACCGAATCGCTTTATCTTTATAAAGTGCTTAGAACAATGCTTGGTATACAATAAGCATTATGTAAATTAGTGTGAAAATTAGAGTATAGTGTTTTAGAATAAACAGCCTTACAGATTAGTATGCCCCAATTCATTTATTCATTCAATAAATGAATCCAATAGTGATAGAAAAACAAGCTGGTTTAATAGAATACTGTGCCATCTTTGACTTCTTAATTTTTTTTGGTTATCATATGTTCTTTAATTACTTCAATAAACTAAAAAAGAACTCTAAATTTATGGATTTTAAAGCTGTCCAATGCTCTATTACAGCAAAAATGATAAAAATGTTCTGGCAGCATGTAAGCAGAATGCTTAGTAAAGATGATTGTCACTTTTTTTTTTTTTTTTTGAGAAGGAGTTTCGCTCTTCTTGCCCAGGCTGGAGAGCAATGGCGCAATCTTGGCTCACCTCAACCTCTGCCTCTGGGGTTCAAGCAATTCTCCTGCCTCAGCCTCCCAAGTAGCTGGGATTATAGGTGCATACCACCATGCCCTGCTAATTTTTTGTATTTTTAGTAGAGACGGGTTTCAGCATGTTAGCCAGCATGGTCTTGATATCCTGACCTCATGATCTGCCTGCCTCGGCCTCCCAAAGTGCTGGGATTACAGGCGTGAGCCACCATGCCCCGCCAAGATTGTCATTGTTTTAGTAAACAATTTAAAAAGGAACATTCTACTGTTTACATCTCTCATACCTACTTAGCCTAATATCATTTGTAACATTATTTAGCAAATACTGCCAACCCTTCTCCAGTATGGAATTTCTATCAATTGTCAGGGGGACAGTTCAAATATACGTTGTATATTTTAAAAGACACTGGAAGATCTTGACGTAAAGATGACCCCATGGTTTCTGAACTCAAGCTTTTCTTCCTCTTTGCTGATCTGTCCATTTGCTGTCACCTTTTAAATCCTCAGACCTCTTACATATCCTAGCTTCTAAAATCCCGCTTCCAGGGTCTCTCCTTTCTGAGCAGATCTCTAGCACATCTAGAAAATACCATTTCTAACATCAGCAATCGCATGTTATCTTATCACACAGAGCTCCGCACACAGAACCCAGCTGTCCAACCACACACAAACACATCTGTGTGCCACAACAGGTGGGGCACCTGTGCCCTCATTAGGGTGGAAGCCCTTCCGGCTTCACCTCTCCCAGTTTCCCAGGAAGGCAAAGTCCAATCCTGCAAGATGTCTTCCTTTTAGGTGCCCTGGTAGAGAACTATGCAGAGACATAAGAAATATCTAATGTCCAGTCTACTAAGAACTGATAATCAATTTTGGAGTTCAGCAATTTAATCATTAAGAATGTGAGCAAGCACTTCCTCTCTGTAACCTCAGACGACCTCCCAATCCCACTGTGCCCACTGATGCCACCATGATAGCTCTAACCATGATCTATGGTTATGTTGGCCCCGGAGCCTGAACCGCTGCCCAGGGAACTTCTCTGGGCATAGTGTGTTTTACTTGCCTTGTGTTCCAAAGGTAGCACAAAGCCTATCTATAGTAGGCTCCCAATAGTTATCTGAAACTGTATTTGAATCATTATCTGAGAAATACCAACCTTTTTTTTTTTTTTTTTTGGCTGATCAAGCTAATTAGGGTTACTTTCACTTTTGAGAACAGGGAGGGTCCTCATAAATGGAACATCAGGAAAGTCATGAGACTCGCTTCAACTTGCCCTCGTTTCAACTAATTCGGGTTAACTTTCTCCCATTTATCCACACGGCTCCTTTAAAACTTGCACCATACTTTTTTCGCCGCGCCTAAACGAGTTCCTTTGGTGACCCCAGCTTCACCTTGCAGATATCCTCTCCTGGCATCCAATGCCTTTACTCCCACTCGGCCATCGCATGGGGTTGGTTTTTTTTCGGGCAACTGCTCCCAGCGATCACTTCCATCAAGCCGGGTTTCCAGTTCCCGCTGGGAAGCGTCAGGGACGTCCGGGCACTGCGCACCAGCTAGCGCCGGTTACCAAGCGCCTCCTCCCCCTAGTCTGTGGGACTATGCTCTGATAAGCACCCAAAGAAAGAGGTCCCAACAAGGCACTGGGTCAGCGTTCGGTCAGAGTGAGCGAGTCAGCGAGAGATATTCCTGGGTGGAGGGGTGGGAACGCCTTAGGTCTAGTGTCCCCCACTCCCAGCCCGGACCCTTCCCACCGAGAACTACCTACAGAGGGCTGCATCGCCTCTCCTCTTCAGCCTTCCTAGGGACTAGAGAAGTAGAGGGGAGAAAAGCGGGGAAACAGCCACCCCCGGACCAATCACGACGTCCGCCCCTCCTTAGTCGGGGTCTCTCTGTCACTCACACACTCACACACACACACTCACACACACGAGCTCCTAGGTCAACTCCAGCTCTGAGCAAGTACGCCGCAGACCTCTCCCACTGCAAGTCCTCCGGCCCGTGTGGCTCTCCTCACCCCAGCTTCTTCACCCCAATCCCAGTTTCCCCTCCCAACTGACCGTGAAGCCGGAGGCAGTTTCCCAGTCCCAGGCCCCCGGTGGGGCTCCCGCCGCTGCCTTCCCCTGCAGTCCCCAACCCGGGACCCGGCCTCCGGCTGCGGCGATGGCTCCTCGGAACGAGGCGCCGCGGTTCCCTGGACTCGGCCAGACACCGGGCGGCGCGCAGGAGAAGCCCATCGAGCTCCCGGCGGTGGCGGCGGCCGCGGCTGCAGGAGCGGCCGCCGCGCAGGTTGATGACGCGTGGACGCGGCGGGTGGGGCGTGGGGGAGCGGTCCAGCGGAGACGACGCGCGCAGATGACGTTTGGCTCGCGGGGCAGCTCGGCAGCATGGCGTCCGTGGCGCTGAGTGAGGCGGAGAAGGTGTACATCATGCACGGCGTACAGGTAGCGACAGCAGCGGCGTTGGGTCGGCCGCCGGGTTCAGCTTGACCCTGCGGGTCGCGGCCTGCCCTGGGTTCGCCAAGCAAGAGGCAGTCGAGCTGCGGCGACTCTCCGTTTACCTGTGATTAAACGGCTTTGCGGCTGGCGTTTGTCTTTCAGAGCTGGCAACGCGGACGTTTTTAAGACTGCTAGCGCATTTGCAGTTTTGCGGGTCTGTAAGATTCCGAACCCGGGCAGGAAGCGTTGGTCAGTCCCGGAGGTATTTTCGTAGAGAGCATCGCCCATGGCGATCCCTTCGGCTTTCGTGCACTTAACTGGTCCGAGCCTCAGTTTTATTTTCTAGGAAATGGGGAGTTTGGAGGTGGGCTTCTGGCCTGCCTTTCCTCGCTTCGTGGTTGGGAGGCACATGCGAGGTGAACGCACTGTAAAATACAAATTACCGTACAAATAAAGGGAGAAGGGTTTTGTATGGCAGCTTGTATTTTCAAAGTGGGTTCAGCTCGCATGCGCGTCCCAACTACGAGGTGAGGAAAGGCAGGCCAGAAGCGTTGGCTCAGGTTTGTAATACCAGCACTTTGGGAGGCCGAGGCTGGCGGATCACTACGTTAGGAGTTCAAGACCACCCTGGCCGCGTAGTGAAACCCCCGTCTCTACTAAAAAATACAAAAATTAGCCAGGCGTGGTGGCGGACCCCTGTAGTCCCCGCTACTTGGGAGGCTGAGGCAGAGATTGCAATAAGCCAAGCTCGTGCGACTGCACTCCAGCCTGGGCGACACAGTGAGACTGTCTAAGAAAAGAAAGAAAAGAAAATACAAATTGCTGTGCCAGTAAAGGGGAAGGGTTTTTAGACAGCGGCTAGGCAGCTGGTATCATAAGTGCTGTTTTCATTTTGCCAATGGAGAACTAAGATCCTAGGCAGCTAAAACCTAACGTCCTCTGTGCTCTACATTAAACCCCTGGTTTTGACCACTCCAGAACGAGGATTGAAAAACGTTGGACGTGGTAACGAGCTACCCTGTATCTTCCTCTGGCTCTGTCTCCACTTAACCCACGGTGTGGTCCTCCTATCAGAGTTCTTCAGCCCACCCTTGGCAGAGTTCTGGTGACAGCCCCTCCTCATGGCTTTCCTCTCTCAGTAAAGTTAGTGGTCTTGGGATGTAGCCATTAGATTGAAGCGGCCAGCTATCATTAAAGTTCCACAACGTGAGTTAAGGCCATGTCCATTTAAAAATCGTGACCTGCTTTTACCTTCTGGGCCCTCTATAGATAAAGAAATGCCAATATTTAGCCAACAGTTTGCATATTAAGCCTGGTTAATGAAGTCAGAACTCACAGTTGCGAATTTTAGATGTAATTCAGGATTAGGAATAGTGGGACATATGTGTGTATTACTGGGGAACTTGTATGTTATTTGTGTGTGAGGGGGCATAAAAATGCCCAAAAGCGGGACGGGCGCGGTGGCTCAAGCCTGTAATCCCAGCACTTTGGGAGGCCGAGGCGGGTGGATCACGAGGTCAAGAGATCGAGAGCATCCTGGTCCACACGGTGAAACCCCGTCTTTACTAAAAATACAAAAAATTAGCTGGGCATGGTGGCGAGTGCCTGTAATCCCAGCTATCCAGGAGACTGAGGCAGGAGAATTGCCTGAACCCAGGAGGCGGAGTTTGCGGTGAGCCGAGATCGCGCCATTGCACTCCAGCCTGGGTAACAAGAGCGAAACT